TTTCTTTGCTGTAAATTACCATTCTTATCTGTATTTTAAAGTATTTTTATAGCTTAACTTTTAATGTTTCTTTTATTATTAATTATTTTGGTTCTCGACTGCTATATAGTCTAATAATAAAGGTTGGGGATTATTTAGTAATTTATTTGTTACTATCACTACATAATATTTATTGATTATTTGTACTCATTAAGCGAATCAGTTACTGAAAGCGCTGTGTTCAATATTAATCTCTCTATAGAAATCATTTAAACCTGTGTCAAGGCGACTTTATTTTACATATCTCTTCAATTCCGTTCTTTCTGATTTTCACTGCACAACAGTGCTGAATCTTAATTTGAGTTTTGTCTTTAATCAAACTCCCTGTGAGCAGAAATAAGTACTTGACTATTGTAAAAAAAATACTAAATCTAAGCAAAAAAAAGAGAGAGTTGTACAACTACAAAATACCAGTGAAAATACACATATTGCCTTGGTAAATATGATCTTAACAACTTTAACAGAATATTGCAATAACAATGATATTAATGCAGATCATTATTTAAAGAAGTATGAGGATACAAATGAAAAGTTTTTCAATATCACTGAACCAGACGTTAAACACATGAGAACGTAGCCTTCTATATCTTTCCTTTCTTTTTTCTTTCTTTCTAGCTTTCTTTCTTTCTTTTCCGTCTCTCTCTCTCTCTCTCTCTCTCTCACACACACACACACACACACACACACACACATATACACTGAAACCAGAGACTGTCTCTGATGTGTCATCTCCGTCTTTCAACACGATCAAAGCCGAATAGCCCATTATTTTATGAGGTAATGTCATGCCGTAAGGTACGAGCTAACTAAGGAACTAGGAAACAAGCAAAATTAAAATGTCTGGATATATTGTACTTTTGGAGCCAATCATGACTGAGAAATAGTTTTAAAACTTCAACCAAAATACAACGTTGTCTTTTGGTTTTGATATAGTTATTAATTATTTCGCCGTAACCATTTATTTTGAGCGCATTTAATTTTAATATTTATACTTTTGGCTCCAGCGAACTCGAATGGGCTCAAGGCAATCAAGTTGAATGGTTTTAAATCCAAATGGAAACCTTCTGATTTTGTTATATACGTAATCAAAGATGTGATCAAAGATGGCGCGTTTGTAGAAAGCAGATATCTCTATTTGATGTAAGAATTTATTTTTTTCAAAAACAAAATAAAGCCCACTTTCGTTCATGTTCAGAATTCATCACACTAGTTTAGTTGGCTCATTTACTACTAAGATAATTTCGTATATCATAGAGTTACATTACACGGGGACACAAAAACAGAAGTACAGAAAAAAAAGGGTAGACAATATATACAATCAAAATGAAATCATATTTTCTTATTTGTGCTTATATGTCTGTATTTATAGTAAAATTATTTATTACGTTTAAATCAAGTTCCAAATTCACTTGACAATAAGGTTCAAAGGACAGAATTTTAATTTTGCTTTCATAACCGTTAATCATGTTATCCTTCTCAAGTTTGGATTCTTCGTCAGAGTCACTTTGCAATCAACATTATGATTAGAAGAAAAACATGATTGTTATACAGTGTAACCCGGATATAAGAGAAACCCGGATATAAGAGAGATTTTCTCTGGTCCCAAATTAGAGCCTGTGTTAATGTATATAAAATAGACCAAACCCGGATATAAGAGAAACCCGGGTATAAGAGACTTCTCCGGTCCCGACAACTCTCTTATATCCGGGTTACACTGTATAGAAATAGACGTATAGGGTGTTCTGTTTTTTGGGGGGGGGTTATGTTTGTTTGTGTTTTGTTTTATTTTGCTGACCCCTTAAATCCGCTTACAATTATGAGATAGAAAAAATTGGAATTTAATTTTCAGTATTATTTCCAATATTTTTCTTTTAGTTTTCCTTCTGCTTTTATGCACAAAGAATTATGAGTCGAAGACGGAAATAAACACCAAGACAGTCAATCATCAAATGGCAAAAAAAATGGTTTCTGAGTTGGAGGATCCGCGCATCCGGTTAATAAATTAATCCTTTGAAAATAAATATTTAACATTTTTCAACCAATGGGTCACGTTCCCGTCAACAACAAAAAAAATATGCTTCGTGATCCCTTTGAAGAGTAAAGTCTATAGACGGACAAAATTAATAAGGAGAGCTGCAACCTGTTCCGGGGGGGGGGTAGCTAAATATACTAGTAAGGAGAAGGAGCGGCAACTGACTGTGTGTCGTTGAAGATCTGGTCACTGATTGTTGCTGACGAGCCGTTTTTATCGTTATTTAACAGCCGTTGCTCGGCTCACGAATCTTATCTGAGTTTTGCACGGGAATGTATTCAGTAACCTGAGCCCTGACCCATTTCCAGGTCATTTAAAGTTCAACCGCGCGGACGTAATAGAGAGAACATCACGTGACAAGTCATATCCAATCAGGTTCCAGAAACCACCTATTTAATTTGGAGCCGTGTTTGTACAGAATTGTAAAAAAAAGGTTTTCGTATCTACTGAATGTAGTGTGATTTACTTGTAGGCGTCTCTTACTTGTTTGTGCTTCACTTATTGGTCGTAAAATATAGGGGTTTATATCCTATAAAAACATAGCAGAAGTACCAGAACAGATGTGGCAGCAATAGTCAATGCATTGATGCATGGTTGTATTGGAATTTAATTTGAGAACCACTACTACAGTGTTTTACAACTTCACGTTCTAGTCTCTTTTCTGATCTTTGAGTCGACTTTCACCCCTGCTTTCAAATCCGGCTCCCAATGCCTTGATCCTTACCAGAGATAATATATTTTCTGACGAACGAGAGAGCTGGAAAATATAAAAAGGATTTTGATCACCCCTGTCCTGACCATGGTGCCATTAAGTCGTGAGGTAATATTCACAACTTGTCGGACCCTTGCTTCGTAAAACCAGCTCCTAAACCTTTGATTCTTATCAGAGATAATCCGGGAAAGTGTATAACAATTTTGGAGGAAAGGTTCACGATATTTCGGAGTCTTATCTCGATAAATATGGAGAATATACGCCTCTTTGGAAATGAGTATTTGACATAGTCTGTGATAATATCAGATTGGTGACAGTAACACCAGTCATCATCGGAACCCGTTTCAAGGAAGAAATCTACATGCAGGACTCTAAAGACAGAATGTCGGCCCTCTTCTAAAACTACTCGAGATCTGCTTCTTAGGAGCTTGATATTCCTGTCGTCGGCCTACGAACTCACTCAACTACGGATCTTCCAATTGTTTCCCTCCTCAGCAAGATCCCTGAAGAAATCTTATGTGAGTGTTAATCCCTTAAGAACAATTTACTTGCTTAAAGAACGCTCAGAGAAATATTTTGAGCAAGCCTTTACATGAACACTTTTTCTTACTTTAAGTTAAAGGAATTTTCTTCTCCTTTTCTTTCTTTCATGTTTTGTATATATCCCTTTACCTTTTTCTGTGTATATAAAACATTTTCTTCTATTTTTACACTTCGAACGGGAATTTGAGTCTTTATTCTTCCGCCTAAAAGAGAGAATTGTCGCCTCTAAACTTTCAAGCCGTTGTTGCTTTTATCGATTCTTTCATCTTTAACCTCAACCCTTTCATGTGGGAAAGCCGGGATAAATTTCCCTCAGTAGGCTTATAAATGTGTAAAATAGATTCTGGCGAGAAAATTCTACAGCATGACACAGTGAACCAACTTTCCTAGTAAGAGACCTAGCAATTGTTTCAATATAATCTTTTCACTTCATGTCAGCGAAAATGTTGTTAACCTGAAAAGGCGCGATGAGGTACTCTCCTAGAGGTTAGCACCAGTCATGCTGCTAGAAAGCAAAACAGATTTTCACAAACGATGAAAAAAAAAAGAGAGAACAGCTCGTTTTTAAGGTGTTAAAATTAACAAGCCATTCCTTGTCTCAGCTAAAATAGGTTGTTGTTAAATATTATATAATTATTCCTAATTATGCAATAACATGATCCAAGCAAAGGTTCAAACTGCAAAATATTATTTCTGGTTATATGAAAAATATAACAGGGAAATGCCTCATTGTAAAGTGGTGGTTAACAAGCTAGTCCACTGAACTACAGACTACTTTGCAGTGTGGAATGAGTTCGATAAGTTTTAACCTATAAGGTAAGCTTACTAAATACGTGTAGTGTAGTGTAGTGTATATACTCCGCAGATCAGTGTCTTGAAATTGCTTGCTAACTATCTGAAAATTTATATTTTATATTTTTCTTCATAAAAAAATTTTCAAATGAAGTCGAATTAAAAATAAAATACGAACTGTTATTGTTGCCGGAAAAAATTAAAAAATGAATATGCAAAATAAAATAAAAGAAATAAAAATAATATGCATTATTAAGAATTAGTGCCACGATAGCAATTTCAGTTTGCGTCCGTTACAATTATTTCAATTTTATTCTACATTATTTATTTAGTTACCAAAGAAAAACTGACCTTTTTCGTACCTAGGCTATATAACTATCAAATCTTGAATTTCGTGAAAGGAAGGGAGGTAACTATGCATCGCTTCATAACAGTTTTTTCCACAAAGAGCAAGGTTCCCTTCCTCATCGTGCTACATACTGGATGTGATTGTGATAAATGCATTCGTAGCAATAATAGTAGTTACAGCGTCTTGCTTACACCTACTTGGCTGAAAGGCCGATTTGTATATAACGCCTCCACGTTTAACAAAAAGATAACAATACTGTAAGAAGAATTGACGAAAGGCGGTAGATTTCCTACTCAATAGAATTAACTTTTAAAGGATTTTTTAAATACTTATTCACAAAAATGCAAAGTATAGCAGGCATTTGTTGGGTCCGTGTCGTTTCACCACAACTATTGATCACAAACAACACTACCATGAAATTAATAAATAAGGGAACCCCAGCCATGATTTACCGGGTTGGAACCTTTGGACAGCATCAACCCCGACGAACGAAAGTTTTATCTGCTGAAACTGTGAACCCTTTTGTGAAAGGGATGGAGTATGCTGTTCGTGGACCCATTGTAACTAGAGCCGGAGAAATTGAAGCTGAATTAGCGCGCGTAAGTCACCTTTCTTTCTCTTTTTTTTTTTTTTTTTAATTATTTTTAATCAGAGATATATATATATATATAAAATATCTAATCCGTCAATATTTCTTTCATTCATGCTTATTACGTTAAAAGCCTGTCTTTAATTTATTTCCTTTTAAATCTCGTAACACTGGCATTTTTCATCTTTCTTTCATTGTTGCTTTACATTACAAACTATCAAAGAAAAAATCGAAGTTCTCTAACTGCTTTTATCAATTTTTTTTTTCGACATATACGTTTAAACACTGGGACCAATGTTAATATTAATTTTTTTTCAAGAAGCCTGCTTCCTTATTTTTTAACTTTATTCGTTCAATACTAATAGGATGTTTTTTATTCTTATTTCCTTTTTGTAATTCTAAAATAATCTTAAAAGTGTGTTAGAGGTTTTTGTCTGTTTAAGAATTTACATAAGTCATCGCAACTTTTTTTTTTTTTTTTTTTCGAGGTTGGGTGGGTAGATATCTACTAATTAAATTAACACAGCTCGGCTACTGCTAAGTTCCACTTGTAAATGTCTGTTACTGTTGAGTTACTCAACTGTTAATGGCAATGCTTTAGAAAAACAATTAACGTCAAATTCTACATTTAACTTAAGTAGATTAAGGTTGTCGATAAAAGCATTATATATTGACAAAAAAAAAAGTTGTTTGTTTTTTTTGGTTTTAACCGTCTCATGACTGACTCACAAGTGTCATTGTAGAGAACGTAAGGTTTACTTAATGACCGTGTCTGGAGGGTGTGTACTCTCAGGACCAATCATGGTCGAGAAATGCTTTTAAACATCAACTAACAATACCACGTTGGTTGGTTGGTGATGGTGACTGCAAATATGACTTAATGTTATTTTTTTTAGAACTGGTTTGAATTTATAAGGTTGTTTTTTAGTACTTTGTTATTGGAGTAGAATGATGAGAAAATGGGATATGAAATATCGATGCCTCGTTTTTAGGTCAGTATTCGTTCAAAACCAACAAGTAGTTTGACGTGCTCTTTTTTTCTTTTTCTTACTTTCTTTGCCAATATCCTTCAACTTTACAGTACACTTGTATTGTGTCAAAGTACTTTTTTAGTTATTTTCTGATTAGGAAATTAAATTCTGTTTTACCGATTCTAGTTAAAGAATTTTTTTTTTTTTTTCAAAATTTAACATTTTTATTCTAAGTTCCTCAGCTAATGTTTCAATTAGTAAAATAAAAATAAATGTTTAGTTTAACTTTAAGTAAATGCATTTTTTGTTTGTCATCTGATAGCAACTGCTAAAAAAAAATTATCCGAAATTTGAAGCATTCCTGAGCTAAAACACTGCCTCTTCTTACCTTAGTTCAACCCAAACCAAAATGGTTTTAAAAAATGTAACATGCAGGTTGTAATAAAATACTAATTTGTAAATAAATTTCATAATGTGGGCTACCAGTAGTAGTGAATAGCATAATTTTCAATGAAGATTTACACTGCTAGCGATTTGGAACTCGCAAAAAAAATATTAGCCATCTAGTAAAAAGTAAATCACATGACCTCCAACAAACGGTGAAGTGTGGGTAATGTTGTTGGAAACTTAAGTGTTTTTTTAATTTTTTTTTTTTTTCTTTTTTTTTTTTTTTTTTTTTGTATCCTTTTTAGTTTATACGGGCAAGTTATAAATCGTTTTGGGTGAAACGATTAAAAAAAAAAATTATTTGCCGGATAAATTTTCACTCTAAGATTATTTCTCTCTCTGTCCGTTTTTTATTTTGTTTTTTTTTTTTTTTCACTTGATTTTTTTGTTATCACGTGTAAATCTTGTTATTTGAAATTTTTTAGTTACGAGTTTTTTTTTAATGTTTAAAAATTGCTTGGTCATGATTATAAATTAAATTTGGATAAAATTTAAAATTCTCAACGAACGTGATGTTTTTTTTTTTTTGTTTGTTTAATGTTTTATTTAAACATTCCTTGATTTCCTTATGTCAAGGCAAGGTTAATGGATTTTTTATTTTTTTTTTCTTGATCATGAATAACCCAAGTGCTCCCCTCGCTCACTCAACTCAACTGTCGTGGCATACCAGTGACATGGTATTATTATCACGGTATCTAGCGATTGGACAGAAATGAAGTGAACATCATCAACCAGAACTTGAAACCTCACCGATTCCATCCATGCCAATGACCGTTTTGCCCCGTCACGTTTTTTCTTTTTTTTTTTCTCACACACACATACACACTTGTTTGTTAGGATAATTGAGAAATAAAAACAGTTTTTATTTCATTTTACTTGGCCTTTACTCTTTAACTACGATGTGCTTTTTTTAATTTTTTATCGCTGCAGATTTATTTGAGTTTTTTTTTTTTTTTATGTAAAAAATTCGGTGGATTAAAAAAAATGAAACAAAAAAATTCTTTTTGTTTAGTTAGACTTTCACATTACAGTATCTTTAAAAGATTTAAAACTTTATAAATTATCATATTTAAAAAAAAAAGTACTTGTAAAAATTCATCAAAAAAATGTTCTTAAGACAATGGTGTCTATCTTATTCATAAAAGCAATTAAAGGTGTCGGAGTTATCTCCTCCTACGATCCTTAAACCCTAAAGAGAAACAGGTCAATTCGACCTTGACCTCTCGGTTGTGCTCCCTATACGCTGTTAAACTGTGGTAGAGACTAGCAAGTTACCTCTTTAGTTTACTTATATTACAAACCTAGTTGTAATATACTTCTAGACATTTTTAGGCCTTAGTTCCCTTTAGCTAATCTCGACTTATTTTTTTATAGAGACTTTACTGTTTAGGTTACCCAATTCTCTTAATCTGATCAGATTCTTTGAGCATCAGCTCAAGACGAAGATTAGAACTGATAGAAAACGCTTGCGGGATTTATTTTGTAAAAATACAAAATTGTGGCACAAGGCCAAAAAGGGGGAGGGGGTAAGGCTGATCTTCACTAACTATCTTATACCTAGCTAATTTGATTCACGACCCATTCAGACATTACAATTTACTCCTTCACCATAAGAACTTGTCCGTCACCAATCAATCCTCCATGCACCATAATACCACATCCACTCTAGGGAGACATACAAAACACGCCCCGTGCCATAATAATTTTAATGATCCTAACACATATGTACAAAATTCTAAAATGAAAAGATGGGGGGGGGGGGTGAGCCCAATAATGAACTAAAATATTAACATAAATGAAATTAAATGTTAACTGATGTTAGTAGGGCCCATCCAACCCTCAAAATGCAGGGAGACCACTGTATTCTGCTCATTGGAACAAAATCAAGCAGCTCTCGGGCTAAGGGAGTGGGAAGGGTGATAAAAAATCATACGGGCATGGGGAAGTATAAAGCTGACCCAGTCAAGATAGAAAGTGGGGGGTCAAAAAACAAACTGGGGAGGTTGGGAATCTCAGGCTGGATCATAACTAAAGATGTGCCGGGGGTGGGCAGGCTGGGAACAACACTTACTCGCATTAACTCAGTAAACCAAAGCTTGACTAACCAAACCAAGGGGAGGGCACCACAGGAAGCCACCCCGATGTAACGTAGGCTTGACCTAAAACAGAAAATCAAGGCTAGCCCCGTTCACACGAACCAAATTCGACAGTCTTCAGCCAAAGGTGGGTGACTGAGGCGAGCTTATGGTGAATGAGTAAATTGTAATGTCTGAATGGGTCGTGAATCAAATTAGCTAGGTATAAGATAGTTAGTGAAGACTAGCCTTTTACCCCCTTTTCGGCCTTGTGCCACAATTTTGTATTTTTACAAAATAAATCTCGGTCAGCGACTGAAATGGTCGGTAATGCAGGCTCCTGGCCTTCGTGGCCAGGAATGTCGACCACCAGGCTGCGTATTAAGTTACGCTCCCATTATTTTTTTGTCTGCCAACTTGATGATAGTTGGAAACTTTCCTTCCTTCTCTCTCTCCTTCACCTACTACTCCTGGCTCCTTGGCCCTGTTCGACTCTTGGCATTCCGTCCCTACTGGCTGCCTGCAAGTCATCCATTACCTTTCTCATACACTATGTTAGTAATTATTATGGGAGGTTACTAATATCGGCTTTTAATTAAATAACGTCCTAGTTTTATTGCATTTTTTTATTTTACAATTCTTGAGAATTTGGGAGTCCTGTTTTAGAAAAAATCATAATTCAAATTCTCCAAGGACTTCTACTAACAATTAATATAAACTTTAAGCTCTACAAAAGTGAATTTCTCAATTTTATAAGATTAAATAAGTGGGGGCAGTAACAGATGTAAAAAAAAAATATATATATATATTTTTATCAAGATCTAAAGCAGAAAAATTTCTAAAATAATTTCATTCATTTGTGAATAAGTCCTGAAAGTTTCATTAAAATCTGACAATTATTTGATTTTTGCAAGAATTTGCAAATCAATGAATTTTTCACCACAAAAAGATACTAAAATTTCCTATACTAAATTATGGTCACAAGAAAAAAAAAAAAAATTAGCCAAAATTTTTAATTTTCTGAAAAGGATGAAAAAATATAATTTAATAATCAAAAAATTTAATCTTTCCTCTTAATAATAAAGATTTTGATGATAAAACTTTGTTTTTATTAAGTTTGGGGCATTTTTCATCCTGTATGCTCATTTTTTAGCAAATGTTTTGAGGTAACTATACTATGTTAATGGCAGTATTAGCCATTTCCCCACAAGGAAACATTTGGCATTCATTGGTTGATAAGCTAGTACTGCATTCAGTTGAAATTTATAAAATCTTTCTCTTAAAACGCTTTTCCAGGATAATAATTATCTTAACTCCAGTAGCTGTTATCACTCTTTCCACTATTGATGGGGGTATCCTTCTTTACCTTTTATTTGAAGTAGTGTGATTAGGTCATTATTTTCTCTTCAAGTTGCACATGCTCTATCTTCTAGTTATTGCTGCAGTTGGTAGTCCTCAATTGATGTGCTTTCTGTTATTTGGTACAGTTATTTGTGAATCTGTAGCATCAGTCCACA